AGCAAAAGGAAAAGGAACTCACAGCTGGAAAGCGGGTATCGAGCTTCTTCCTCATGTTTTCGAATAACTCCTGGAATGGAAACTCCGGCAAGACGGGAAAGATGAAGAAATGGAACACCAAAAAGAGTAGTATGCAGGGAAGACTGATGGAACCCTACGAACCACGAAGAAGAAGAAGAAGAAGAAGAAGCAGAAACCCTAGCCTGGAGTATTCTGCTTAAGAGAACCCCTAGAAGCAACACCTTAGCCAGCAAAAGAGACGCACGGCAGCACCACAGCCAAAAGCTCTGAGGTTGAAACAGAGAAGCATAAGCGAAAACCAACGAGGGAAAAATAACAAAATTTTTGGGCTCTGGACGCCGGGAGAAATTTTCTACTCCGATAAATAAATAAATAAATAATAAGAAATGTTGGCTACGACGTCGTATTGCTCGCCCTCCCGTTGATTAATAAATGTAAATTAAAAATAACGTCGCCTGATTTGTTTTAGGGTTACAGAGCTATTTTGTCGTTTTCTCTCAGGGTTTACTTTCTCACCGTGATTCTTCCGGGATACCCATGGCCCGCAGTTGTCTTATTGCTGACGTGGCTGGCGTGTCAGCCCGTGAATATAACTCGATTAAATTTATTAGCCAATTGGAATTTTCTGGACTTCTACATGGACTTTATGGAGAAATTCTATATTGGGTTGCATAGTAAATGTTTACTTTTGATTTTTCTTCTTTTAATAATGTGTTGACATTTGTATTTTTCTAACTATTTTCTTTTTGTTTAATCATAATGTGAATTTGAACATCTAATTTTATGAGATGAGCAACTTGATTCTTTTTGTTTAATCATAATGTGAATTTGAACATCTAATTTTATGAGATGAGCAACATTCAAGTTGTATTTGTTTCCTTTTTTAGTTTAAATTCAAATATAGTTGAGCTGATTTTATATATGGTCTTTGTTTTAGGAGGCTACTAACAAATATTGTTTAAATATATTACATAATTGAAGAGAAAAAAGTAATTTGAAGTATGTTGGATGATAAAAACGAACAAGACACGTGAACAAATTCAATCACGTTATAAAAGACATACGATAGTGTATTTTTTAAGCTACTGTAGAGATTTGTTCCTGTAGTGCCCGCTCCGCCTATAAAAGAGGCAACATGCCTATGACTCGAACTTGGATTGACTTAAGCTTCGAAGTGTTTGTTTCATTTTTCTTAAGTTAACTTATTATTAAAATGGTGTCAAGTTAGTAATTTAAGTATGATGATGTGAGATGAGGGATCCAACTCACGACCTCTTGATTTGAGACAATATGTGTCAATTACCATTCGACCATGCTCGCTTTGACAGAGTTTATAGATATATATAAATAAGAAGAGTGATATTATCAATATAATAGCAAATTTTGAATAAAGTCCCATGCTGCCTAAACTTCCACTAAAGATTAATTATATAGTTTTGAATATATTGACAAATTCATTGCCTTAACATTTGGTAACATGAGACCTTTTCCATAATTAGTCGTGTTGGATATAATTATTGGATGTCGAACTCATCTTGGATAACCAATCACATGAAATTAATTATGAACGAATGATTAGATGTCTGATAAAACTGACGAGATTTGAACTCACAACAATTTAATCATAAATATGTGTCTAAATCAATTGAGCTGTCTTAGCAAATTGAGTTGTCTTTAGATTGGCCAACTGCACGTTGAATGGATATTGGGTTGAGATGAAATAATAATGAAATGCACACAAAAAAAAGAAGTTAGTATTGGTCTTTTCACAGCACAATTCATAGTTAATCTCTATTTGAGGGATCCCGTACTTTGTAAAATATTAGTTGACTTTAATAGAAGTTAAATTTAGAAGCTCGTTTTAAAAAAAAAAACTATCGAAAAAAAAAGAAAATAAAAGAGAAAATAAGTTAAATTTGATGTGCTTGAAATCAAACAAACAAATAACTATAAGAAAGAGTATTTATGAATCATTTATTGTTGGGTAATTTCCCGTTCCACATAAAATATCTAACACAACCACAAATATGTAAATATGAAGAAAACAGTAAAAAACAAGAATACGACACATCAATTTATACTGGTTCACCACTAAGGGCTACGTCCAGTCTTCTACTCACATGTTGGGTAATTCACTAATATTATTTAGGATTGGATACAATAACACTCCCCAAAATATCCTCAACAAAAGTCCATAGCTTCTAAGTATTTTACACCATTAATATTTAGGAACAGGAATGAAAAACTCACAGAATGAAGATACAATTATCAGATAATATCGATTTTGATCAACCACAAAGCTTCTACCAATGCCCTAGCCACTGCCATTGATTTACTGCCAAAACCCACTCAAAATTGGCTGCAAATAACCCCCTTGTTCGGTTGGTAAAACCCTAAAACCCGAGACTGCGTATTTGTAAACATCGAAACAGCGCCGTGGCGCTACGGACGGACAATCGACCGCGCCTCCCTCATCTGGACAGCGCCATGACGCCCTGCAGCGGCGCCACAGCGCTGCCTCCTCGGCTCGAGTGGCCTGCAGCGTCCGCTTCTCCCTTGTTTTCATCGTACTTCGATCCCGACGCGTCCCAACTCTTTCGTAGCACGATCCGACGTCGTTTTGACTCCACCAATCCCAACAATTATTAATAGTGAATTTTGCACGACTTAATTTTTAAACTGTGTTTACAAATTACAACTCAACAACTTGTTATAAGTTTTATTTTATAAATTAGACAAACATTTAGGATAATGTTGTCATACATATTATTATCCATTAAAGCTAGCTAAAAATCTTGCTCTTAAAAAAAGTATCACTAAAACAACGAGGATATTATTGAATAATAATAATAAAAAAAGCTTTATAAAAACACGTTATAAAATATAACATAAACAAATAAAAAAATTGGGACTAGATAGGCTTATATACAATTACAAAAGAAAAAAAATTATAATAATAAAATAAAAGATAAATATCCATCAATGAGTAAAAATAAAACACGAGAGTAGATCTTGAATAATTATATTTCAAAAGAAGTTTAATGATTCTCCAACTACTGCAAGTGCAAATGGAAAAAAACCAATAAAAAAATATTTTTACCACCAGCAAATTGTATCCAATTTCCACCACAAACATTTAATCTCGTTTGATTGCACGCTGAACTTATAAGTGTGGTAGTTTTTATACAGATTTAATTTTTTGTTAATTCACATACTAATTAAAAAAACACAAATATTTAGAAACTCATTCATTACAATAAAATAAAACTTTACAAACCATTCACATAAAAAAAGATTTTCATTAGTTTCATATTAAACATATACTTTAAATACATTGACATTAAAATTTATTTAAAAAAATAAAAATCACACCATGTCTGATAAAAATTACAATATACTTATCTAAATTTAATTCAAGGATGAAATTTAAAGCGGTAGATAAAAATCCATAATTTTATTGGAAAGAAAAGATTAATTCGTGGAAAGAAAAAATAAACAAAGAAAAGAAGAGAAAAGTTCGCATAGAGACAAAAACACCAACCAATAGAAAAAAGACTTTCCTCTAGCTTCTCAAAGCCGCTGCCCGTTGCCCGCTTTCCTACTTGCCACGTGAACCTTCCATGATCTGCTGCTCCCGATTTCACCGATTACACTAAACTCAACGAATACAAGACTGCCACGTGTAAATAGTCAACGCTCCTTGACTTACCAACTCTATGTTAATGGGACAGTTGTGACGCCGCTACGAAATAGTAAAAGAACAAAGAAGCAATGAACCATCACAGGTTTCGGTCACAGACAGCTTGACAGTCGCTCTCTGCTCGGCCCCCTTTCTCTCTCTAGGCTTTCTTTCTCTCACTTCAAAGTTCTCTATCGGCGCCTCGCCTGAATCCACCGCATTCGTCGGTCGCCATGGATTTCATCATCTGTGGCGCATCGAAGCTCTTGTTTGCTATATTTGTTGTTATGCTATTCGCGATTGCCTCATCTGCATTGCCGGAAAATTCCAATTCTAATTCCAGGTCCTCATCTCCGGCTGTGCCCGGCCAGATCAACTCCAATTCTATCCTGGTTGCTTTACTGGACTCTCATTATACGGAGCTGGCCGAGTTAGTTGAGAAGGCTATGCTGTTGCAGACCCTAGAAGACGCCGTCGGCAGCC